TGGTTCTTTCAAGACCCCACCAACAGCCTGGGGAACTAGGAGGCTGCCCGGAATCTGGAAAAAACCTTCTGCCTCAACCCGGGTTTTGGTGCAGCTCGTCAGAGACGAATCCGTCCTGCTGCCGGTGCTTCGGTTTCCGCGTGAACTCCTGGAGCTGCAAGAAATCCCGCGGTGAACCAATTCCGACATCCAGAACGCTGCAGGGATCGGACCGAAGGCAACTTCCTGGTGATGAACTGCCACTCGAAAAAGTGTCTTACTCTGTTGTGTTACTGCACTTGTGGTAGTACAAAGCCATAATATGGCATGGTGGGGATGACAAGCTTGTTTAGCCCCGGGTGAGCTCGTTGTGAATGGGCTGAAAGGCAAGCTGGTTTGAAGGTTCAAACGTGCGTGCGCGTGCCGCATGTTTGTGCTGGTGTGGTTCCTCTCATGCAAACGGGGTTTCCACTACCCCGAACTACTGCCAGCCAAGATTAAGTATAACTATTGTGTGCATGCTGGTATACCAGTTTCCTTTGGGGACCGTCGGGACAGTGGAAACTCTTAGAGATGGCGAGAGCCTGTGACCCTTGAATTCCTGCTGTTGGCACACCACGTTGCCCGACCGCGGGTACGGAGGCTTCTGGTGTCAAAGCTGGACTTGGCTATGGACCCTGGCTTCACAAGTGTTGTTCCTGATGAATGTATGTTTTCTCCGTCCTTCGCTTTTGTTCGTGAGTCATTTTCAGGCAAAGAACTGCCTGTGGTGTGTCCCGGTTTCTTCTTTCTTGATAGCATAGTCACGGTTTCATGGGCAATCACCCAGGTGATCGCAGAAAGAGCTTCTCTCCACCTGAGGCAGATTGTACCCGTGGTAAACCCCAGTTGAACCATGGTCACCTTGGGTCGCATTGCGCCTTTCACCGGATTGGAAAGGGCTGGCGTCCTCTTGGTTTCCGGGTTTCCTCCAGCCAGGGGTTTCTACTTCCCACGTTCGCGAGTCGCAGGACCATGAGTTCGAGCTGAAAGCGGGAGAGGACGCGCGCCAGGAGGTGCCCGGAACTGGACAAGAAACCAAGAAATGGAGGTTCAATTCTTCAAAGCGAATCAACCTTTTGACCTTAAAGTTTTCCCATGTTGCTCCATATTTAGACATTGTCCCAAAAGGTTAACCCTTTAATTCCAGGTCTTTCGGCAACTGAGGCTGGAGTCCCTTTAAAAGCTTCCCTTTTGGAGGCCCTTTGTCCGGGTCCACTTCCCTGATTGTTGCAAAGATGGTAGTGTTAGCTTCGGATTCTCTCGGACAACTAACGCGATTGCCCCGCCAAAAGGGCAGCTAGCCCTGATTGGTAGGGCTCGCATTACACTCACTTCCGTGAACCCCGCATCACAGATAGATGACGCACCCACGAGCACTGCGAATCAAATGGCTGTGGGTATTAAGAAGAAAAGTACCCCAAATGGAACCCTGGCAAGTGGAAGCATGGAACAACACCTGTGGTCCCCTGGTGGTTAAATGTTGACCCATACCCAATTCTGGAAACACAGATGTTCCAATGTCTTGGGAAGAAGTGGGATGCCAAGAGAACGTGTCCCCTAGAGTCTGAGGCAGGAGTGGATGCACGATCCGCTCAGCGTGAAGAGCGTAATCTGCATTTCATGTTGCGCCCCAACAGGCCCCAAAGTCTCGTCCTGGAGTCCTGGGGCTCTGTTCGCCTCGGCATGTCGAGATGGCCAGCTAGGGGGCTGACCAGAAGGCTATCAAGGGAACCAACATGACCAGCTCGGGAGGTTTGACGGTGCGCAACGGCCATCGTTGCCATGCCCGATTCTTTCTCCAGCACATCCAGCACAGACCCTCTGAAACCTGAGCAACATGAAGAGGACGGCCCAGGCAACTGCTGAAGCACATCCTCTGATCACGGCTCCTTAAAAGATACATTTTGCCCATTTGAAACATGGCTTTTTCCACAAAAATAAAAGGAAACCACCATTTACAAGGCAATGTTCAGGTGTATAATGTAAGGATCCCCGCTGATTGACATGGAACAGAGGAAAGGGTTCATGAGGACGCTCCTTCGACAAGTCTTGTTCAGGGGAAAGTTCCATAGATGGATGTGTGTTTGTTCAGGGGTGAAATTCCGCAATGGTCGAGATGTGGGATTTCGTAAACTGGGTAGTTGTTTGGTCCCCCCCCAAAAGAAAAAGCAAAACGGCTTTCAAGTTATGTTTTCCTCGCGGACATGCAGGGGGCGAGAAAACGCCTCACTTACCCCTAACCACCACCCCCAAGGGCCAATGAGGCACACAACCATGGTTTGGCAATCATATGGGATATGGTGTGTATATCTATATATACATGCGTATTCACCATTTTCCTTTGGTTGGATGGATTCCTGGCGTGACTGGGGTGACTGGGCGAGCTCAAAGAGGATTGTTTCGAGAGGTCTCCAGGCTGCAGACGGAGGTCCACCGTCTCCGCGAGGCTCCGGTCGGCGGTGAGTTTGGTCAAAGGCCGCCGTGAATGCAGGGGATACCAAGACTGGGACACTCAATTTTGACTAGGCCCCCCAGTAGTGCCCTGTTTCCCTTTTTTGGGCGAGGGTTCCCCTACTAAAATAGACTACCGAAAAAAGGGTACCCTTATTCTAGCCTCTCTACTGGAGGACCTAGAGGGGATGCCAAGACTGGAACCTCAATTTTGAGAACCCCACCGGCTTTTGCACCTCCATTTCACCCGTTTGGACCTTATGGAACACAAAACTCGGGCGAAAAAGCGAATCGGATCCCCTGCCGGGTGTATCTCAGGTCAACTGGTGTTTCTTTGGTTTGGGGACGCTTTGGGGGGGTACGTGAATTGATGTTCTGGCTGTGTAACCGGAGATGTGAACACGCTGATTCCTCTTGCAATGGGAACCTAACTCATACAGGGGTAGGGTGACTGAGTGCCCGCCCTGAGCTTCCAAGACTACTGCTTCATTGGGTGTCCTTTCTTGCAAGGTGATTTCCGGGGCCAGCTAGACGGACCGACAGGCAGACGGACAAGTATACATATATATATATATACATATAGCTAGATCATAGAAGTGCCTCATTCGATACTCATAAATGATGTATGCTGGGTTTGCCTTTTAGACACTTTGGAAATGGTTGGAAATCAGGGACCTGTTGGCGGCCGAAATTGAATTCCTTCCTGGGAATCAGAAGGCACGTCCGGAAAGTGTCGCTCCCCGCATTCCCAAAAAGTGGCGTCCTGCAAAAGGAACATGCATGGTTCTGGAGATCAAGTGTTTGGAGGCCCTTTGTGATGGAAATGAAACTCGCGAAGTGCTAAAGTCGTCATGGGAATCAACCACAAAAAGCCATGTTGTTGTTTTTTTCCACAGCCATGATCGTGCATGGCACCCTTTTAATGATGGAAGTGACCGGATGTCTTAAGATGGTCTTCCAAACCCCTGTGCACTTCCATGAATTTGGAATCAGGGTACATGTCCGGTGTTTTCGGGCGTTTAAGCGTCGCTGCAGGACCGCAAGGCCAGCCGGAGGCCTTCCCGGCGGCCCGCGGGGCGCCCAGACGGACGCCACGGGAGGTTCTTCCGTGTCTTCGGGGTGTGCGGTGGACCCTTCTGCACGCCCCACGAGCTGGGAAGCAAAAAGCTTCAGGTGATTTTTCGTTGCGAATAGCTCGAAGTCAACACTCCCAGGAGTGGTTGCTTTTTCATGTTCCAGAGTCCTCACACGTCAGGTGAAACAGCAAGGTCAACCCCGAACGATCTTGTTGGAGACCCTAGACCCCTGCAGGAAAATACAATCCTTTGGCAGAGGGTTCTGCCGGTGGTTTTCCCGTTGTCTCAAAATGGAGCCCAAAGAAAAAGCCGGCGTTCTGATGTTCGATGTTCTTGCTTTTGTGATAGGCAGGGAATGAGAAATGGAATGAACCTGGGGGTTCCCGAATACAGGAAGTCAAATTGGGGATGGTTTTTCTCGGGGTCATTCCATGTCTTATTTCCTGCCTATCGCACCGCAGCAAATCCAGCGACGCACGCGAAACGTCAGCACATTTACCCCAATTGTGGATTCCCGACTCATTTCCTGGTTTCCTGGTTGAAATCTCCCGCGTGCTAACTCTGCCTGTTGGGGTATATTCACCTGATTGCTGCTCACTACAAGGAGTTTGGAGGTCCAAAGGTTGGGGTGTGGGGTTGAAATTTGCAGGTTGGCCAGGGTGGGTTTGGGGGGGGGGGGGGGGGGTTGGGGGATGAATCAGTGAATTATGACAATTTACCCAGCTGGAATCCCCCACACAGACCGCCGCATCCGATAAAGACGGGAGAGTGTTGCCTTCCAGGGGGGTTGTCAGAATCACTTGGGAGGAAGCTCACTGTGAGTGTCATTTTAACGGGCCTGGCTGTTGGGGGTTTCTGTTTCGTTCTGTCTCAAAAAATGTGGGAACCCCCACAATCGACTGCCCACCAACCAACCAGCCAACCAACAAACCAACCAACCAACCCACCCAACCAACCAACCAACCACTTGCTGGGAGTCGAATGCATTCTGAGGATAGCCGGCCACCCTCTTCGCCTTTGCCACTGCTGCAGGGCCCGCTGAGCCCCTCGGCCATGACCCATCGCTTGCTTCGGTTCCACTTTCGATCAGAGAATCTGGGGTCGATCCCACAACGATGCGATATGGCCATGTGGCATAACCTTTTTCTCTATTTGGGGTGGATGAACATCCATTTGCCACCTATTTTGACGTTGAGCAGGGGTACAGGGAGTTGACCCACAGCCATATGTGCAAACATGACTACCAGACCCCAGCTTCTGGAGATCGAAATACGAAACAGAATCTGAGAAACGGGAAGTTGTTTTTTCTCTGTTTATGTGGGCCGAGAGGGAATGAACTCGAAAACACCAAGCACCATCCTTGGTTTCCCTCCGCAAGAATTTGCCCCTTGACCCCTCAGGTCCTTGCGTTTTCAGTTGGAGACCCGAACCGGGAGGGATGGGAGGGTTGCGGGACGCCCGTTGGGGCCACCGATTTTAGGGAACTTCCACGTCTAGACAGCTGTCAGTCTAATTGGGATTTGTTTCACGGGAAATTCAATGCCAAAAGTATGCTTTGGGGGAAATAAAGTCCACATCCGGAGAGAAACTCATTGGTTGGTGGCTTCCTCTCAACCAATCATGCGAGTGGTCTTCTTAGGGGACCCCTTTTTGTCAAAAGGGGTTGGTTTTTCTTGTGGTGTCCCTTTACAAGCACACAGAAAGGGCGCCCTCCCAAAAAGGTACCGAAGAGGACAAGTTGTGTAGTTCGAGCCGACCGATTTCGGGGTGAATCAGTGGAGGTGGACACTCCGAATTTGTCGAATTGGGAATCCGTATCCTTTTCGCTTGGTTTTAAAATGGAAACAAAGAGGAAACCCGAAGCCATCTTGTGGCTTGTGGGCCCAGTAGAACGACGCAGCCCTCTGAGAACACTTTTCGAGACACTCCCATAATCCGACAGGTTGAAAGATAGGAGTAAACTCGACGAACTAGATCAGCGAGACTAATTGATGGGGACAGCAACTTACCATTGACTTTTTGGTTGGTCTCACATTGGGGCATCCCCCATTTCCCCAGCGCTTGCCTATATATTTCCGAAAGCATCACCCCAAGAGGTAACTCTAGCAACCCGAGCTCAGGCTACAGCGAGGCGGCGTCACTGGAGGAGTCCGGGCCTTTGGCGGAGGATTTTGTGTCTTGTGTGCGTGCGTGCGTTGGTTAGTTGGTTGGTTGCCCGGCTGGTTGTTTGGGTGATGGGTTGGTTGGTGGGTGGTTTTGTTTTGTTTACAGTATGTTTGTTTGTTGGTGTGGTTGGTTGGTTGTTTGTTTGATTGATTGTTTGTTTGTTTGTTTGTTTGTTTGTGTGATTGGTTCGTTGTGTTCTTGTGATTGTTTGTTGTTATCTTTGTGTTTTTGTGTGTGTGTGTGTGTTTGTGTGTTTCCTTATGTTTTGTAATATTGTCTTTCTTCGTCTCGTTTGCTCTTTCTGTCTTTCCTTGTTTCTGTCTTTCTGCCTTATTTATTGTGTCCTTCTTTATTTATTTATGTCTTTCTTTCCTTAGGTCTTTCTTTTTTTCTTGCCTTCTTCTTTTGTTATCTCTCTTTTTGTTTTCCTTATTTCTTTCTTCTGTCGTTCTTTCTCTCTATCGTTCTGTCTTTGTTTGTGTCTTTCTTTCTGTCTTTCTTTCCGTCTGTATTTACTTATTTATTCATTTATTGTCCATGTCTGTCTTTCTTTCTGTCGTTCTTTCCTTGTTGCATTGACTGTTTGTGTGCTTCTGTCGCTGGTTGTGTTTGTGTGCAATGTTTGTTTGTTTGTTTGTTTGTTCGTTCGTTTGTTTGTGTGTGTGGGTGTTTGTTTGTTTGTTTGTTTGTTCGTTTGTTTGTTTGTTTGTTTGTTTGTCTGTGCGCTTGTTTGTTTGTTTGTTTGTTTGTTTGTTTGTTTGTTTGTTTGTTTGTTTGTTGTCTTTTTTCCTTTTTTCTTTCTTTTTTCCTTTTTTTCTTTCTTTCTGTCTTTCTTTCTTTCTTTCTTTCTTTCTTTCTTTCTTTCTTTCTTTCTTTCTTTCTTTCTTTCTTTCTTTCTTTCTTTGCTTGTTTGTTTGTTTGTTCGTTCGTTTGTTTGTTTGTTTGTTTGGCTGCTTGCTTGCTTGTTTCCTTGTTTGCTTGTTTGCTTGCTTGCTTGATTTTTTGTTGTTGTGTTGTTTTTGTTTTGTTGATTTCCTTTTTGTTTTTGTTATTTCTGTCTTTATTTCTTTCTTTCTTTCTTTCTTTCTTTCTTTCTTTCTTTCTATCGTTCTTTCTATCGTTCTTTCTTTCTTTCTTTCTTTCTTTCTTTCTTTCTTTCTTTCTTTCTTTCTTTCTTTCTTTCTTTCTTTCTTTCTTTCGTTGTTTCTTTCTTTCTTTCGTTGTTTCTTTCTTTCTTTCTTTTCTTTCTTTCTTTCTTTCGTTGTTTCTTTCTGTCTTTCTTTCTTTCTTTTTTTCTTTCTTTCTTTCTTTCTTGCTTTCCTTCCTTCTTCCTTCCTTCTTTATGTCTTTCTTTCTTTCTTTGTTTCTGTGTGTCTGTTTGTTTGTGCTAGCCGCGGCTTTACCGGACCCATGTTTTGTCATTTTTGAGTGCACACATGCTTGCCAACTGTTAAGCACACCCTCTCAAGTGCACCTGCTCAGCACCCGCAATCAGTTTGCCAAGACCGGTCGCTTCTTGGCAAACCTGTTTTGGTAGGTCTACAACCCACAGGAAACGCGAATCGGCGTGCGAAAAGAGACCCTCTCTTTTCCCGGCTCGGGCACTAGGTTTGCATGGGGGTTTCCAATTGGAGCACTTGTTTGTTCAAAAAGAGGCTCCGTAAAGCTCCCGCACGGTTGTTTGTGTGTTTCTTCACTTGGTTGTTTGATTATTTGCTTGCTTGGCTGCCTGATGTTGTGGCAGGTTGTTCGTTTGTTTGCGTCCTTCATTTGATTGTCCCTGTTCGCGTGATTGTTTGTTTCTTTGTTTCTGTGTGTCTTTGTTTCTTTGTTTGTTTGTTTGTTTGTTTTTCCCCGCCCGACAGGAAGGGGCTGTTAGATTTTATGTTGGAATCCGCGTCTGCGATGCTTCTACACCACGCCCCCACCCAGTATCCCGCCAGAGCAGCTCGCCAGTGGATCCCACCGAGTATCCCACCAGAGCAGCTCGCCAGTGGATCTTGCCAAGTATCCCGCCAGAGCTGCTCGCCAGTGGATCCCGCCAAGTATCCCGCCAGAGCGGCTCGCCAGTGGATCCCGCCAGAGCGGTCGCCAGTGGATCCCGCCCCTCTGAGTATCCCAGAGCAGCTCGCCGGTGGATCCCGCAGAGCATCCCGCCATAGTAGCTCGCCAGTGGATCCCGCCGAGTATCCCACCAGAGCAGCCCGCCAGTGGATCGCGCCGAGTATAGAGCAGCTCGCCAGTGGATCCCGCCGAGTATCCCGCCAGAGCTGCTCGCCAGCAGATCCCGCCAAGTATCCCGCCAGAGCGGCTCGCCAGTGAGTATCCCGCCAGAGCGGTCGCCAGTGGATCCCGCCCCTCTGAGTATCCCAGAGCAGCTCGCCGGTGGATCCCGCAGAGCATCCCGCCAGAGTAGCTCGCCAGTGGATCCCGCCGAGTATCCCACCAGAGCAGCCCGCCAGCGGATCCCGCTGAGTGTCCCAGAGTAGCTCGCCAGTGGATCCCGCTGAATATCCCTTGCCGGTGGATCCTGCCGAGTATCCGGCCAGTGTCGAGCCGGAGCGGCTTGCCAGCATTCGCCAGTGGATCCCGCCAGTATCCCGCCAGAGCAGCTCGCCAGTCTGGTTTTGCTTAATGCCCCGCCCGGCGCACAGTTGGGTTTACATTTCATGTTGGTGCCTTCGTGTTTTGAGTGCAGCCTGAGGCTTGAAAAGGGTGATGCTTTTGTGTTGCTTTGGGTTGTGAATAAGCAACTTCGTTTAATCCCCCGTCGGGTTTCTTTTTGGAAGGGGCTTGGGTTTCGTCAACGGACCCGATGTTTGAGTTTTCGAGATCGGCTTGCAGAGAGTTTGACACACAGACAGGTGGATAAGGCTCTCAATGCAAAGCTTGTTGAGCAGTCATCGGCCCCAAGCCACTCGAAAACCATGCTTGAATTCACACAACCGTGTTCACGGTCGTAAGATCGTGAGTGTGGAGGGTGGGGATTGCTCGAAGCGAAGTAGTTTTGTTTGTTTCTTTGTTTGTTTGCTTGTTTGTTTGTTTGTTTGCGTGCTTGCTTGTTTGTTTGTTTGCTTGCTTGCTTGCTTGCTTGTTTGTTTGTTTGTTTGTTTGTGTGTTTGTTTCTGTCCTTGTTCGATTCATTGCGTGGTTGGTTGTTTGTTTGTTTCTTCTTCTTTCGTTCTTTCCATTGTTTGCTGGGGCGCGTGGTGTGTGTGTGTGTGTGTTTGTTTGCTTGCTTGCTTGTTTGCATTCGTTTGTTTAGTTGCGTAACTCTGTGCTTGTTTGTTTTCTTTGTTTGTTTGTTTATTTGTGGGTTTGTTTGTGTGCTTGCTTGCTTGCTTGTTTCGTTGCTTGCTTGTGTGTTTGGTTCTGTGTCGCTGTTTGTTTCTTTATTTGTGGGCTTGCTTGTTTGATTGACTCTGTGTGTGGGTGTTTGTTTGTATGTGTACTTCTTTGGTGTTTGTTTCTTTGTGTTTGTTTGTGTTGTTCGTTCTTTTTTGCTTGTTTCTTTGTTTGTTGATTGTTTGTGTGTTTGTTTTGTTTGCTTGCTTGCTTGCTTGCTTGCTTGCTTGCTTGCTTGCTTGCTTGCTTGCTTGCTTGCTTGCTTGCTTGCTTGTTTGTTTGTTTGAGTGTTGGGTTGTTTGGTTGGTTGTTTCTTTGTTTGCTTCTTTGTTTGTGTGTAAGCAAACTGGCAAACAAGCAAACGCACCAGAAAACAAACAAACAATGAAAACAGCACCAACCAACTAACCAACCAAACAAACAAACTTTCAAATATAATTCAAACAGACAAACAAACAAGCAAACAACCCACAACCGCAACACACACGCACACCACATACAAATACAAACGAACCAGCACGCATGCAAACCAAATAAAGTAACAACCAAGCAAGCAGCACGGCAACCCACCAACCAGCCAACAGAACAAACAATCAAACGAACGAATCACCAAACAACCAAACAATCACACAATCAGACAAGCAAGCAAGCAAGCAAGCAAGCAAGCAAGCAAGCAAGCAAACCAGCACAGCAAACAAACAAACAAACAAGCAACAAAAAAGGCAAGTTGAATAACTAAACAAACGAACAAGCAAACAAGCAAGCCAGCAAGCAACCAAGAAAAAGAGTTAAAGGACTAATCAAGAGAACGAGCAAACAAGCAAGCACATTTAAGGAGGGCCCCGTGTACTTAAGTGTGGGGGGCTGTTTTCAGGGCTGCTGAAACCCAATGGTTTTCAGAATTGTGTGTTTCGCAGCTGAACAGCCCGAAAAGGCTTTGTTCGGGAACAATGCAAGAGACGGACTTGATGGCATTACCTCGTTGGAGAATTGGTATAAGCTGGACGTGATTTCGCACACACCTAATGAAATGACCTCGGCTTAGGGTTTTCTGATGCGGATCACACATGGGGCAGAATTAGCGTACTGTGAAATGTTCCGCACACACCTGGTAAAACGGCCATAGCTTGGGATTTTCCGACTCAGATGTACCTGTCAGTGATTTCGCGGCGTTCTGACGGTCTGACAATCCTGAGCGTGTGGATTGGTAGATGACGTTGGAGTTGCTGGTGGGTGTATTCGATGGGGCTGCATGACGTTGGCAAACAGGTGTTTTGTGTTATTTTCTGGCGGTGTGGTTGCGACAATCAACTGACAGGTGTTTGCAATGTTTGGTTCAGACGACAATTTCAGCTCTGTACTTCTCAAGCTTTCGGTAAACTTCTGTGTCACCACAGTTGCTGTGTGAACAGCCATTCCCTGGAGTAGTAGTTGAAATACACAGGACGTAGCTTTTCATTGCAGTCTTTTCTTGGTCGAGCGAAGCCCTACCCATGGCAGTCCACCTTTGTCCGGCCCTGCCAAGAAATCCTTGAGCGCAGACACCTCTTAGACAATGAGCCAATTCCTTGAGAACCCTTTCAAGCGCCAACACAATTCCTTAAGTGCAGCCGCAACTCCTTAAGTGCAGCCAAATTCCTTAAGCACAGCGAAAACTTTCGAAAGTGCAGCCAAATTTCCTGAAGTGCAGCCAAAAGTCGCAGCCAACAATTCCTGAAGCGCAGCAAAATTCCTTTTGTGCAGGGCTAATTAGATTAAATTCAGGGGGGGGGGGGCGCACCAAAGGATTTGAATTTAAGCTAATTTACCCTGCACTTAAGGAATTTCGGCTGACTTAAGGGATTTGGGCTGCGCTTAAGGATTTTGGCTGCACTTAAGGAATTTTCGCCGCACTTACAGAATTGTGGCTGCACTTAAGGAATTTTCGCTGCACTTAAGGGATTTTTGCCTGCAAGTGCGGATTCGCACTAAGTTCACCCCCTTGAATTTAAACTGATAAACCATGTGCTTAAGGAATTTTTGCTTCGCCTTCGCATGTGCGATCCTTTAAGTTCGCCCCCCTGAGTTTAAGCCAATAAGGATTTGCAATTCCTTAAGTTCACCCCCTCCCCCATGAATTTAAGCTGGTTAACCCTGCAATTCAGGAATTTATGCCATATACATTCAGGGGGGTGAACTAGGCCTAATCAATGCTTTTTTTTTGAGGAGGGGTTGCCAGGGATCACAAAGTCTATGTGGGCGTTTTCTGGAACAGATTGAGAAGGCTGAGCTTTGGCCCAGCTCGTAGCATCCAGCCGCGATTTGCTTTGATGAAGTCGTCCGCGCCCATTGTTGCATTTTCTATATGGCAGCCGGGTTTCGCATCGTTTTCATGGGAGCTAGCTCAAAAACGAAAATAAACATTGAATCGTGTCCCGGTTCTGACACGTGCTCCGATCAGAGGTGCGGACACTGGAATACGGCTCAAGTACACGGGTCGGACCTCGAAAATAGCTTAAATCCATAATTTTGAAATCCCACAGCTGGATTGTGTTGTTTGTGTTGCTTGTTTTGTGTTTTTAGTTTTGTTTGTTTGGCAAGCACTCGGCCCCTCAAATGTTTTTTGGTGGGCCCCCCAAAACACAGTAAGCCCCAGGACGCGAAACCTGCCACGCATTTGTCCCCAAATGGCGCGAAAACGAACGCAGCCCCATGGTCCAAAAACCTGCCACGCATTTGTTCCGAAATGCGTTCTCTTTCTTTTGGGGGGGGGGGGCTCTAAAACGCAATCAGCCCCAGAAACCTGCCATGCGTTTGTCACCACATGCTTTTTCGGGGGGCCCAAAAATGCCGCGCTGAGCCACGGGACCCAAATGGGCCGAAAACCAGGCCCGCCTGAGAACATTGTGTGACTGCTGCCGTCCTTTAGGAAAGTGGCGTGCCGAAATTCTGGGCCTGAGCCATTGCGCTTCGGCGTTGCGAGGTGGTGGAAGACTTGTTTTTGCTTGTGTTTGACGGCTTTTTGGGGAACATGTTTCGGCGCACATTTTAAAGGCTCGTGGCATGGCGTTTCAGGGCGGAGGGCTGCCAATAAGCGCAGAGGGGCGTTTATGAACAAAGAACTTAGCAGCTTATGTTGGTGAATTGCGGCGTGCCGTTTGTCGGCACGGATCGAGCAGCTGGGCAAGGCGGTAGCAGGCGTTGCAGTTCGTCCTCGAGCCCTGCAGCGATTGCGCGGAGGCATTTTCGCACCTACCAAGCAACTCGGCTTTCATGGCTGTTTTCGGGGCTTTGAGGGCTGTGCTTGATTGAGCGAGCGTCTCCAACAGAAGATGCCAGCTGCCACCTTCATGCCGTTGCCCCGGGGCCTAATGATGAAATTTGGTGAACGTCGCAAAGTCCGCGCACAGCAAAAAGCAGTGAGGTGTTAATAGCTGATTGCATCGCTTTGAGAGTTCTTGCGCTGGCAAATGCAGCTGTTGGCTTGCTGCCTGCGTGCAATCGAAGTTGCGAGGGTTGTTGTTTGCGGGACTCAGTGTGTGACCATTGTCACACGCTGCCTTGCATAAGGGCGCTGTGTCTCAAGCGCGTCTTGAGGATCCTTACGACGCGCTTCCCCGCCCAAAGCCTTGGCGCCCACGCACGGAGGCCCGTGTAGCGCAATGCGTTCTGAAAGGCTAGATATCCAGGCGCACAAGCAGACGCACTTAAAGGCCCGGCGTCCTGACGGCTGGGCAGCGTAAATGCAGAGCGGAGAAGCCAGAGCGCCCCGTTATCAGCAAGCGCGGGTGTAGATCAGCGCTATCTGCGCGTGCTCAATCCCTGCGGACAGTCTGTCGCCAGGCAGCCATTCTGCAACTATATCTGAATGTCGGGCCAGGTTTACAAAGTATTTCCTGACGAGAGCCAAGAAGAAGAAGGACTGTGCTTACGCCACTGTGGTGATGCAATTTATTTCGGGACTGGCGGTCAAATCCGACGTAGCTACTTGCCGACGAAAACAGCACGCAAGGTCTTGCGAGGCAAGAACGCCGAACCAAGGCGAGCCGGCGACACAAGCGGGTTGGCCTTCCCGGAGCAGTGCTGCAGCTCTCAGCTCCTCGGCAGCGTGGAGATGTCTGAGGATAGCCCGTGGCAGCTGGTTCTTGACACGATCAAAGGCCCGCTCAAAGCCAGAAGCTGATGGGCCCACACTTTGGGGACGCTCTCAGGGCGCTCAACCTGGAGGCTCCAGGCGATCAGCGCGCACCAAGGCACCAAGGAGGCGGACGCCTGCATCTTACAGCCTGCTATTGTTTTGAAGCTCCAGGCCTGCTCAGGAACTCAACTAAGGAGCGTTCGTCAGCCCAGCAAGTCTATGAGCTTGCCATGCCAGCTAAGGGCTCCTCGAGAGAAGGCGGCGCAGCTGCCAGAAACCACGCCGCCGAAATAATGGCCACGCTGGCCTCCGGCAGCCCGGCGGAAAGTGGCAGAAGCAGAGGCTTGCTTGCTTGTTTGCTTGCCTGCTGGCTGGCTGGCTTGCTTGTTGGCTGGCTGGCTGGCTGGCTGGCTTGCTTGCTTTGCTTGCTTGCTCGCTTGTGCCTGTGTGTGTTTCTTTGTTGTTTTTTCTGGCTATTTGTTTGGTTGGTTGTTTGTTGGCTTCCTTTTTTTGATTGTTGCGCATGTGTATGCTTTTGTTTGTTCCTTCGATTGTTTGTGTTTTGGCTTGTTTGACTTGGTTTGCTTGTTTGCGTGTTAGTTTGTTTGTTTGAATGTGTTTTTTGCTAGTTGTTGCTGGTTTTGCCTGTTTGCTTGTTGGCGTGTTTGCCGTGTTGAAGCGGCAGTGTTTGTACCTTATGCAAAACGGTTTGGTTTTCAACCACGACCTAGCAAACGCTAAAAATGCGTTGCTAGGGGGATGCGCGTGAATATACATAAATATATACATATATATGTATATATTTATTTATTTATTTTGTATTTCCAAAACGTCAAGGTTGCCCTTTTGATTTCTCTGTTGATCATGCAGAAAGGGGCTTGCCAGCCATATGAGCAGTGGGACAGAGTCTTGTTGGCCACTTGGGTAGGTGTGCTTCCTGGATTGGTGAAAATGTAACAATGTGTATTCAAATCCCATGTTCCTAGAACCCAAAAGTCGACAATCCATTTTGTGCACAACGCTTTTCGTCCGGATTTTTGATGGATGCCTCGGAGCTTTGCATTGCATCCCACGACAACCAGGGCCCTTTACCCTTCTGCCGAAATAGAATCCCGAAGGCTCATCCATTGATAGACGAGTCTCCTTTTTCGGGGAACCTGATTGGATTCTTTCTGGTAATTTGAAAGGGGCCCTCTGGAACGTGGGTGGGTTTCAGGTGAGGTCAATTCTTGCACCGAAACCGACAGAAGCCACCGACACTTGAGGAAGCAACCCCCATGTTTCGAACCAGTTCCCTCAGATCCCGCGGCCTTTGCACGTTCTGTTTTGCACGTTCTGTTCTGCGAGGGAAATGGTTTCCCACTTGAACTAGCGAAACTTGCTTGTTTTCAGCCGGGAATGTGCGAATGACCCCTGTAACCCATCGCCAATGGTTTTTTAGAAACACCAAAACCGGTTCATTCACACCCGGAAGCTCGTGGTCATTCCCGATAGGCTGACCGCTTCCCCAAATCCGGCCGAAGACATCATTCCAAGGTCCCCGGGCTTCACGGTGAATCGGAAGAAGGCCATGCAGGCGCGGATGCCACACGCTGACCGGACCGAACAACCCCTGTGGGCGTGCAGCGTCCCTATCATAGGGACCAACCAACACGTCAGATCTAAGTGCAAGCTGATTTGGAGGGCTCCAAATTTGTAAAGCACGCGGCAGTTTGGAAGTATCCTCACACCCTGACTACCTGCACGATGTGTTTTGTGGGCAAACCGTTTTAATGGTATGAGAATTTGTACTTGTTATTTGTTCCCATTCCACTCCTCAGGTGGGTGTGTCTAGGGGACTCCCCAAAACGGTTTTGGGTTTCCTTGGATTTCCTCCAAGCAAGGACGTTCCCAATCTTTACTAGACCCGAGGACACGAAACCGCCAGGTCTCCACATCCTTGCCCTCCCTCGCCTCCAAAGGCGAGTCTGCAGGCCATAGTCGTGTCGAGTCGAGTCAATTGGTACAGGTGCATCTGGCGGGAAGTCGATCCTTCCATTTGCTTATGGAATATGTGGTTGATTTCCCCGGTTAGTTTTAAAGAGAATCCTGGAGTCCATCACTATTGGATGTTTTTTTTAGGGGACTTAAGCAGATGGAGGGTAGAAATAGGGGCATATGGCAAACACAAGTCATTTAGCATGCCATGTTTTCGGGTTCAAGCACAATCGGGATTCGGACTACAAACATGGTTGCTTTCCTTTTGATTTCTTGAAACCAGCCATGCCAAGGTCGGAGCACCCTCGCTTCCTCTGAAATTGGAAAGCAATTTTCCAGATATCGGTTTGGTTCGTAGGTGTTGGTGGGTGTTGGCTGATGCTTACTGTGTCAGTCGAATGACTCGTTTGGTCGTTTGGTGGGTTTATGTCTTAATGTTGGCAGTCCCAGTCCAGTGGGCGGTCGAGCTGCTTGGTTTGTCCAGATAGCGACTGGAACTGTCCGCTTGTGATTTGCCTCCAGTAAACTGATTCAGAGCCGAGCCACGAAAGGCGGCCAAAGGGCTCCCCTTATCTCCAAACCGGCTTGGCCTTTTCCCGGAAGCCCCAAGTTCCCGAGCCAGCCACTTCGAAACGCCGGTAAATTTGACGCTACTTGTTTTTTTCTCGCTGGTTTTAAGCATCACCTTTCAGACCAATTGAAGGGAGCTAGTCATAAAGAGGGCGCCATGTGGCTGTGTGAAGATGGGTTCAGCCTAGGGGTCCCTATATTTCCCCCTTTGAGTGAAGTGATGTTTAAGGGGGGAATATAGGGACCCCTTGTCAAGGATAGGCCCATCTTCACGGCGCTGCACTTGAGGGGTTCGCCGGTCAAACCGTGCAATGCCACAGTCAAACCGGAAGACGACACCACAGAAAGCCACAGGAACAGAACGTGCGCTTTGCAGTGATTCAATGGCTGATATCTAGCTGAATTGGAGAGCATGGTTTCTGAGATCAAAACGAGTGCCAGCAAGGTCCCCACCTAGAGAACTCCTTATGTCCGGTTTGTAGGCTATTGCAATGCGCCCAGAGCACATGTTTGGTGCAAGGTAATCAACGGCTTGGCCAGGGGAAGCCATAATGAAAGCCACGACTTTGGGGGCCTTTTCTGGCATGCTTCCATGTGTTTCTTTCCCAAACATCTGAGTTTTACCTGAAATCTAAGTGCGGCTTGTTTTGAGGGTACCCCTTTTCTCCGGGAAAACCGCCATTTCGGGGATTGGGGGAAAAAAAGACCGACCCAGGTGCTTTCGCGGCCCGCGCGCTCAGGCCTGGCACAGTCAGGCAGCTCCATCTTGCCACGCAGCAAGAGGCAGGTTTGGGGGGCCCAAATCGGCGACCTCAGTGGGTGGTGTCCGTTTTTGAAAATTCCTTGCCGAAAACCACTTCAACAAGGGTCCCCTCTAAAAAAACACCACATATCCATACCATATGTCCCCTTGAACAAAAACACCAAAAGGAGACCAATGACGAATCTTAAGATGGAAAAAGGCTCCTCCTCCTTTTGCCCGTGTCCGATGCAATGTCGGGCCCTTTCCGCACCTACAGGCACTGAGTCTGATGAAATCTTGACCCCAGCCGGGTGGGTAGTTCGCGTGGCACGTGCCCTGAATGTTAGCTGCGCATGATCGGGATGGCATTGATTTCCGGGGGATTCCTTTGATGATCCTTGTTCTGAAGTCAAACACGAAGCTCTAGTCAAACAAGAAACACACATCTGCAGCACCAGGGTCACAAATCATCCCACCCCTTGTTCGGGGAAAGCAGCCGAAAGGTGGTTCCAGTGAGGCTTAGGGTCAACCACCTGCTTGTTCGCTGTAGTGTATTCCTTACTTCAGGTTAGCATTTGCAGATACGTGTTTTGGGAGTCAAGCAAGCAAGTCAGGCTGGCAAAAATGTTCGCCTTGGGAAGGTACAAGTCTCCTGGCTTGCGAATTCCCTCAGCGCAAGTAAACACCCAATTCTACTTGCGGAAGTCCGTGCAGTGTGGTCGTTGATTCGGATTCATGTCAATGGTTGGGTCCAGAACAGTATCTCAGCCGAAGGCATTTTCATAAACAACATGTGAATTAAGCTAGGTGGAGCGAACCAGAACCGATGAGTAGAATGAATCATCACGCCTGTAGAATGAGTCAGTACATTCAGATGTTGCCTTTCTGTAAGTCGCTTCACTGCGTGACTTCTGCTGCAAATCGACACGGCAAAAAAGAAAACCGGGGACTGTTTGCATCTACATGATGGCTCATCGCTCAAGAAATCAGAGGTCATTCCCCGATGTTTCAGTCAGATCACCGTTGTCTTTCTTTGTCTGGAGCACATGTATGAATCGAGAACAACGCATCCCTGACTGTAAGTGCCCGAAGCAGCGTGCATGAGCTTCAGAGACCGGGATTCACATCCTTCCAGTTGGGTTGAACAATCATCGTACCAGCCTGTTCACACTGGTCAAATGCGTGTTTGCATACTTCTGCATGCAGTTTTGATCGGGATGCCCGCTCCAAAGCCAGCACTAAGCTTCACTCTCTTCCTCACCCAACCCCCCTCAACTGTTCTGGGAGCGCTTCATTATCAGAGAGTATGCGGCAAAGGCGTGGGTACCGGGCGAATCTGGCAACGGCCCCAAGTTAAAGACGTGCAGAAGGAATCCTTTGAGACCTGGCGCCTTCGTTTCTGGAGCCATCCTTACAGGGTAAGTGCTGTAAGTCGTCCCGGGATGATCTAAGTCGTCCCGGGTGAGTGTGCCCGTTGTGTTTGTGGATGTAAAGATAGTTGTCTCAAGCATGTCATTTTCTGAAATCGCATAATTCTGTGCTGTGCGCATGCAACATGTTCATTGGGATGAGGGCACGGCTCACCTGGCGCTCGCGCGGCACTTGCGCAGAGTCGCGCGGCACTCGCGCCGGCAGCCCTTTTGTCGGGTGTTCCGGGGAACCAACTATTTATGTTTGAAGGATAGGAACCCTTTAATTGCAGTGTGCCCAATAGGATTTTGCCCGGAAAAAGCATTCAACATGAACCCAAACCAGTGAGTTGTGAGCATGTGCGTGCAGTGTGCGGTGAATTCTTGGGGTTGGCAACATCGCCCCTCCAGTTCTGTGCCCATTGTGTTTTGCAAAAATTGGGGTGACTTAAAACGCATGGGGTGACTTAAACGGATATGCGTAGTTCCAAGCGGCCTGGGGATGGCTGGGGTGACTTAACGCGACGTGGGGTGACTTGCGACGCCCGCTTGTAGGTCCTTGGCGACGTCATGTGCCATGGTATGACCGATTTGCTTACTTGGGGTAGGGCTGGGCATGGAGCCCTTTGGATTTTTGACCATACGCATCATCGGGTTGCACATCCAACATCGCATGGTCACTGATGTCTCCTTTGGAAAGATGTCTTCTTTCATGTGTCAAGACGCACGCCCGGAAGAGGCTCGGGTCCCTTTTCCGCGCATCCCCGCCTCGCAGGCCATTTGTTATGTGACGCGCTGCGACCCCGGGCTTCCGGCAAATGAAAACCGAGACACAAGGGGCCACGAAGGGCGACACAATTCTGCGCTTGATCTTTCACTCAACTTGAGTCATACAACCCCTTCGAGTTACGCCTAGTGCGCTGCAAATTTGTTTTGCGTGGAGCCCCAAAATCTGTAGGAATGGAATGTCCTCTTGGCCGGTTGTGGGCTGTGTGCCCGGAGCAAGCAAGGTGCCTTTAAGCCATTCGTTCAGCTCAACGAACCAAGCTGGACAAGTTTGTTTCAGTCACATTTCCAAAGCTCGAGTATTTCAGCCCGAATCTTGGTACTTGAAAGGGCTTGTTCTCCAGTGCACTGGATCCATGGCCACGTAGGGACTGGCCGTGAAGGTCAAAAAGCGAATCGAGTTGGACACGGGCGAAAGCGTGTCCCGCTTTCCCCGGGACAAAATATACCAGGCCCAGATGGGTAGAAATCCTCGGGGAAGAGAATGGTTGCTCGGATTCGGATTCTCCTGGGTTCGACCGAACAAGCCTCTTCGACCTGGAACATGAAGTGTTTTCGGCCATTTACTGGCTATATGTCAAAGATTGCGTGAAAGGCCTGCCCAGAATGTCATCAGCCACACAGAAGCCGGGCACATCAGCACTCCTTGAGTGTATTCATGTTGGTGCGACTTCTGGGTTCACTCACTCTAAATTGGAAAGCCAGCACATGGCACTTGGTGTTTTTCTTGGGCAGTAATCCTTTGACTAGGCCTGCTTTGCAACTTAAAAAAAGAACCACGGCACCTTGGTCCAGGAAGGATCACTCGGCTTTTTCCACCGCGAACGGCCAGCTCAGGCCACGAATTCCCGAGAAGCTTGACGGCCAGTTGGCGGAGTGCTTTTGGTGCAAAATCAGCGTCAAGAGCCTCTAAGGCACGCGAGGTCATACTCGGGGCATGTCCATGTTTGCTCTGTTTGGGAGGGGGTGGCCCTTCAAATCCACGAAGAGAATGCAATTTTTCCCTGCTGGTGGAGTCGCTGGGATACATCAAATCAAAGCCCAGGGTGACCCCCTTCCAAATGGTTACTCCAAATGAACGGGAGGAACCACAAAGAAAGGTCCCCCAAAAGGAGGAGCTTGCCTCTACAAGTTTGTTGGCTTTCCAATGGGTTCCTGTGAGGAGGCTGGACACTTTTCCTGGGTGGCCAGGTTCAAGTGACAACTTCCATCGCAGATCTCAAATCAATAAAGGGAGGTGACCGTAAACCCCAAGCCTCATGCCCGACGAGCCCTCTGAAGATCCTTTGGGCAACTCCCTTATTCCCAATTCGAGAAAGCGCAATTTGCCCTCCAAGTGA